TTTTTTTTTTCACACGCTACTTATAGCCTAAGTTTCAAGTACACTGTCACTGAGCGTGTACAAGTAATGGTTAAAAGAAGGAGGGGAAAAAACGTTTGATATAGATTTAGCCCGTTCCGGAGTACAGATGTAAAATATAACGGCATGCATGATCAACTGTTGACTACAAGGTTTCTGTCTCTCTTCCCTGTTCATCTCCCAGGCCCGTGTGTCGGTTATTACCAGATAAAGACATTGGCAGCGCGTCCCCGGAACCCTTGAAGCCGAGGCGATGTGTTCCTGCGGGGGGTGGGGACGTATTCGCTGTTGCTCTTGAAGAAACTGATGAAGGAAATAAAAAGGCATTTGCCGTCAAATCATTGCGGGAGGATAGAAAATAATTGAAAACACAGATTCGCAGCGGGGGCAGACACAACAAAGGCGAAAGGTAAGGGAGGGGGCAGATCCGGCTTCGCCGCGGCTCTAACGTTGCACTTTGTGGAAAACACGATGTAGGAATGCTTTTTTTCCCTTCCCTAATGGATGCATTATGTCAATTCTGGACAATAGAGAGCATTGCACGGCAAGCATGGAGGTGCTGCATACAGTCACTGTATTACCATGTTATGAAACGTGTACCTGAAGCCCTTTTCCTCTCTGGGGAAAAAAAAAAACAAATCAGGAAAATGAGAGTCTTGGCTGAGTCAAAGCGAACTGTCAGGCTTCATAGCTTTAACGTTCAATATGAAGCAATTTTAAGTGTGCGGAGGGGCGAAACAAGAGTGCTCAGCTTTTCTGTTGCTGTTGCTTGTTGCTGTTGCTGTTGCGGGACGATGTGATGCGGCAGTTTTTTTTTCCGCGAACACGAGAAAGTGTTGCATGAAGCTGTTTAGACTTCACTTTCTGCGGGTTGTTTTAATGCACGGTCGAGGACGCCCGGCTCAAATGCCGAATATTTAAGACAGTTGTCGTACCAATTAAGAGCAGCTGCACAGCACGAATTTAACCCCCATGTAGTCAGTGTTGACCACCGTGCATCCGCAAGCGCTCCCATTAAACGGTAAAGCACCAGCCAATTATATAAGCGTTATGTAAACCAGCAGAACTAAGGATTATACACTTTCAGTTTCAGAACTGCTATAACGTCAGTTTTGTTAATGAATTTGGTGTCATGGCCAGTATAGACTGGCTGGCAAACTGTCGGCAAGTCACCTAGAAGTTGGGAGAGGAGCATTGTGGAGGCTTTGCAGTACGTTGAGGGATACGGTACTGTGTTTTCTTTCAGTTGCAAATAAACCTGAGTCACCCCTTTAAAGGCGCTCGAAAAATACTAATGCCGGTTAACTATGGTAATAATATGCACGTTATATTGAGTTATGAAGTTACAACGACTGTGGCGCTCTGAATTTCGCGAGGTCCGAAGTGAAAATCAAAAAGGGTGAATTTGTGGTTTTCTCTTAATGCATTGGGAAAAAGCCAGCCCGTTCAGATTATTTGTATCTTTAAAATCAATCTGAAAATAAGGATTTTTTTTGGCGCAGTTGTGTATGCATAAACTCTGCTGACATAAAATAATAATATCGCCTCCAGACCCTCTGCTGTAGCTCAATTACAACTGAAGATAGCAGCATCTGGGTTCCTTGTTGTGTGTGGGGTTTTACATTCTGTTAAGATATTATTTCTTTCCAGAAAAA